GAACAAAAACTGCATATTTGCTAAAACGGTCAACTATGACCATGACTTGGCTCTTACCATGCCTACTCTTGACTTGGGTGTCCATAAAGTCGATGGACACTGAGTCTCCCGGCTGATCTGGAATGGGCAAGGGTCTGAGAAGACCTAGCGGGGTGCGCGTCCTGGTCTTATTACGCTGGCAAACTTTACAACTGTGGACATACTCTACGCAGTCATTCTTCATCCCTGGCCACGTGTATGCGCGCATCAGATTGGCTAACGTCTTTTGCCAGCCAAAATGACCCTCTGTGTCATGGCATTCTCCCAAGATCAGACTACGGACCTCTTCACTATTGGGGATGCACAGGCGGTCAAATACATTAGTCTTCTCAAAGAGCAATCCTTCAGTAGTGCTGTAGTTCGGCTCAGTCTCTGGGGCCTCCTTGACCCTCTTGAGGAGGTCACTATAGATAGGATCCTGCGCATAGGCTTCTCTAATCTTCTGCTGCAGGTCCTTCCCTATATCTAGGTAATGCACCATTGCCCCAAAGTAATCGGCTCTCCTACTCAGAGCATCCGGAACTACGTTATACTTTCCCTTGACTGGCTTGAGCTCAAAGTCATACTGATCTATCTTTGCGGCCCACCTAGTAAGCTTAGGTGTCATCTTGGCCTGCGTCTTTAACCATCTCAACGTCTCATGATCGGAATAGACTTTGAAGTGCCTCCCAAGCAAGTAGTGCTTCCTGTGTTCTAAGGCTTGCCTCATGATCGGAATAGACTTTGAAGTGCCTCCCAAGCAGTTCCCTCTCATAGGTAGATGTCGCGACCTTCTCTGAAGGCATTCTAGCGGACATGAACTCTACTGGCCTATAACCATGGCCATCATCTTGCTGCAACACAACACCTATGCCGTACTAACTAGCGTCTGTAGTAACGACAAAGGGCAAGGACGGATCGGCTACCTTAAGAACTGGATATTCTATCAACGCCTGTTTCAACTTCTTCATAGCAGACGCGCAGTCCTTATCCCACTTCCAGATGGTCTCCTTCCTGAGCAATCTGCGAAGGGGCGCAGCGATGGTGGAGAAATTCCTCACGAACTTCCTATAGTAGTTTGCTAGGCCTAAGAACGACCGCAACTCTGTCAACGTTCGCGGTGTCGGCCAATCTCTAATCGCTGCATCTTGCTTTCTTCAGGCTTAATGCCATCTCCGTCTAAAACATGACCTAAATACAAAACTTGGGTCTTTGCCCACTCGCAGTTCTTTGCATTGATCTTGAAGTTAGCTTCCCTTAGCTTCTCCAAGACCTGCCTGAGATGACCCTGATGCTCTTCGAGGGTCCTCCTAAATACTAAAATATCATCTAGGTATACTACAACAAATCTATCCAACCATGGCCGAAACAAATCGTTCATACAGCGCTGGAACGTTGTTGGCGCATTGGTTAGTCCAAAGGGCATCACAATAAACTCATAGTGCCCGTATCTAGTCCGGAACGTGGTCTTGTACTGATCATCAGGGTGAACCTCTATCTGACGATATCCGGACTTCAAATCTATCTTGGAGAAATACTTGCACCCCTGCACTCTATCTAGGAGATCATCTATCCTAGGCAGTGGCTCAACATTCTTCACTGTAATAGCATTCAGACCCCTATAGTCTATGCACATCCTTAGCTCTCCCTCCTTCTTGGGGACAAAGAGAACAGGTGCTCCAAAAGGAGATGAACTGGGCCTAATCCAACCCTTTTCAAGGAGCTCGTCCAATTGCTTGCGAAGCTCCTCTAACTCCCGCGGGGACATCCTATACACAACACCCTTAGGAGTTCTACTGGCAGGCTCTATCTCAATACGGTGCTGGATGGGCCGCGGCACTGGTCCTGTCGGCGGCTCAGCTAAGTCCTTAAACTCTTCCAGCAACTTGGCAATAGCAGGGTCTATAGGTTTTTCTTCCTTAGGCTCAGTGACTGGCCAAATATAGGCTGCAAAGACCTGTTCTTCTAACTGCTCCCTTTTCACTAACCGTGCAAATGCAGGAGCACTAAGGCAACAATGTGCCAAGGAGTCATCTACTCCTGACACATAGTACAGACGCCCAGTCTTGACATCGCCAAACGGGCTAGGGAGCCTACACTCATGCTCCCTCAAGTTGAGTGTGGCCCCGGCTGCCTCTCCCCAGTCCATACCCAGGACTATATCGAACGGGAGGCTATCCTCTATGAGGAGAGTCAGGGAATGGAGAACTTTCTCTACTTTCCCATCCTTCTCTAGGTGGAAATACGCCTGGACTCCCTCTACGTAGTCTTCTACTCGCATCGTGCAATTATCCGCAAGGATACTGACTACAGGGTCTGCTAACTTTTGGACTTTTAATTGCAACTTTAGCTTCTGTAGCGCCTTCCTACTGATATAACTACGAGTGGCTCCACTATCCACTAAGGCGCCAACTCTACCTCTAAAAATCTCTGTATCTACCAATATAAGCTGCCCTCTATTCTCCTTCTTCATCTTGGCCCAGGCGGGCATCCTCTCCTTCAATTCTTCGGCCACACCTGTGAGGGAGGTGTCTAGAGAGACCCTAACACAAGCRGTCTCTGRGCAGCTATCTAGACACCGGCCTGCAACCTCTGCCATAGGCACATGTGGTGTGGGAGTCTCTTGCCGGCTAGCGCTATGTTCCCCACATGACCTAATGGTAGGGGCAATTGCTACCCCTGCCGGCGGCTGCCTTTTGGTCTCTCGATACTTAGGACAATATTTGATGATATAGCCCGGGCCACCGCAAAAAATGCACTGGCCCCGGTCCAATCGTTGTTGCCATAAACTCTGGTCCAGACCCAAAGTTTCCCAAGGCCTACCCTGTGGTAGCCCTGGGTGCCATCCTCCTACCCTATAGGGAGACCTATTCCTAGGACGGTTTTGCGGGGCACCTTGACCCCTTCCTTCCGCTTGGCGATTTCCTCCTCTTCAGCCAACCCCCTGATCGCCCTGAAACCGGCTCCCTGAGGCCCGGCCCCCTTGGCCCTGGCCTCGTCCTCCTCCTTGCGGCCTCCCTCCAACCGCGACAGCAGCGGAAGTTCTCCCTGCCCTACACCTCCTCGAACCCCCACTCAATTTGGTCGTAGGGGATCTCATCCACACTACCCTCATCTAAAGTTAGGACAAGACTATCCTTAGTCTTCACTTGCCCAGAGATAGTGCGGCCTTTCCACTTCTTGCCTTTGTCCAAGTCCTTGTGCCAGAAAGTGGAAACTGACACGGACTTTGCCTCGAAGGCTACCACCTCACGGCTAAGGGAATCATATGTGGTGGCAGGGTCTTCGCTCTTCGCGAAGAAGTGCCCTCGAAAGGCTTTGGGCATAGCCCGATAAAAGAGTGCAACCAACTCGGTGTCAGTGACCCCGTGGTCAGGTACAACCACTAATTCATCCATTGTGCTCTTGAGTGCCCTGACACTCTTCCACTGACGAGAGTGGATCGTTTGCAACCTGTCTGAGGCTTTAACACTACGAGCGACATCAGCAAATCGCTCGCGCAGCAACTTCAGGAAATCGAGGAGGGGAGTGAACGACGAGCACGCAACTGCGTCATCATTGCAATTGGCAGCACGAACCAGGGACCTTGCGAAGTTGGCGGCCTCGTCTCTAAGCGCGTGGATCGCAATTTGAACATGCTGATCCGGGGAGACCTGTTGCAGATGCACATAGGTCTTGACATTGGCCTCCCAATTGTCAAAGTTTTCTTCCCGTTTTCCACTGTAGGAATCAGGGAATTTGACTTTGACCGGCTCCCGGCAAGGACGTGCTTCCTCCTCCTTGGGAGCGGCCGCCTTGACGCCTTGAATGGCGCCAGCACAAAATCGCTCAGTCTTGTCGAGGCGGTGGCCCACCTCGGCTCCTACAACTCCCACCAACTAACGAGCAAAGTCCCGAAATCCCAATCGTATCGAACGCACAGCTATATGCTGACTCCTGTTGAAGTCATACTGCACTGCCTGAATTTGCGTTAAGCGTGCAACGTTTCCGGCTATGACCTCCATTTCCTTTGGGAGTTCAGCCCAGGCGGCTAATTGCTCTTCTATCTTTTTTACCTCCTCCAATTCTTCCGCCGCATCTGCTGCCGCGTCCACTCTCCTCTTCTTCTCCCTCATCACTGCCAGTTTCCACTCCATCCTCTTCTCATCTTCCATCGCCTGCCGCTTGATGACATCTTCCTCTGTGTCCCAGGCTCTCATAGCCGCTTCCTGATCATCCTTGGGGATATACATCGCCACCTCTTCTTCTTCACCCAGGGATAGGTTGGCGACCCATTCTGAAATCCGTTTTTCCATCTCATCATCTTTGCGGCCACTGTACTGCCCTCTCTTCCTTTGCAGCGGCGTTTCATCTTCCTCCTCTTCCTCTTCCACCTCTTTCAGGTTCTCTCCTCTTCTTCTTTCTTTTTTTTCTCTCTCTATCTCTCTGGCCATCTCTTCCTCTATCTTCTTCAGCTTGGCCGCCTGCTCCTCCTGTAGGGCCTTCTTCTTGGCCTCTTTCTTCTCCTTTCTTTCCCTCAGGACGGCGGCCATCTTCTCCTCCTCCTCCTTCGTGTACGGCTTAGTGGAGGCACCACCCCGAGTATCTACTCTACACGTAAAGGTGTGCTAGAACCCCAGAGGGAAGAGGAGACGCCAGAGGGTCCCCCAGAGGGAGAACCCAACAAGCAACCCATACATCGGATAGTCATCCATTGTGGTGTTAGGTGCACGACAAGAGTCCCACTCCTCACCACTTAAGACCTACCCGGACACTGACCCACTGACTGACTCTCTAAGGTCACTACTCAAAACTACTCTAAGGCTGTCACTACTGAACCAACAGCTGATCTGGAGGCATTTAAGGAGATCCCCCAAACTCCACAAGAATTCTTTAACGTCGCAGTCAGGACGACGTGATCAGCGTGGTTCTGCCTATGCGTTCAACCCACAACTCAGCCTTTCCGGCCTACTGTGCCACACCGAGCAGCCCGCCGGTCTGTACCAGTCCTTGGAGGGGTTCGTGTCCCTCGGGACAGTCGAGTCGTCAGACACAGATCATCAGCCTTACTTGGTCCGGTAGGGGGGTGGTTCAAACATGCCCTCAAGACTTAAAGACTGGCTGGTGTGTCAACCTTAGCTGCCGTTCAGGCCCACTGAGTCCTACCAACCTTTTCCAGCCGGTCAGCACCGGTCCTTGGGAGGGTTATGCCCCCCTGGAAAGTTGGATCAGCCCCAGCCTCAGCCCTACAAAGTCAGACTAAGGTTTCGTCATCCAACCCTATCCTTCATCCACAGAGTCCTAACAAGGACAAAAGAGACTCAATGCAGAAAGGAGAAACAGATAGACTCAGACTCAGCAAGTACCGTAGGGTGTGTGCACATCCTCAGGGTAAGGGGATAGGCTAAGGGCTCAGCGAGATATCACCAACTCCAGCTTGGTCAAAATCTTGGTCAGCAGTTCCGGTCAACGCCTTGGTCAACGCCGAGTCAACCCCTTGGTCAACGCCTGGTCAACCCTCTGGTCAACCCTTTACCTCGGCTATGGCTGCCGGCACCTTCACCCTCGTCACTTCCTTCCCCTTCCTTCACCTTCTTCTTCCTCACTATCTTTCTTCTGCTGTTCCTCCTCTTTTTTTTTTCTTTTTTTTTTGTGCAACCCCGGCTATGTCTGTCTCCTTCTTCGGTATCCTCCTTCCACACTTGTCTCTCTCTCCTCAGTCCCTCCTTCTCTGTCCTCCCTCTCTCTCTCCTTCGGTACTCTTTGTTGATGCTCCGCGGCTATGGCCGTTGTCTTCCTTCTCCACCGGACTACGCAACTCGCCTCACAGGTAAGTGACAACCAATCTTGGATCGCTCATCTCTCTCTCTCTCTCTCTCTCTCTCTCTCTCTCTCTCTCTCTCTCTCTCTCTCTCTCTCTCTCTCAACCTTCTTCTTCGTCGTGGTCCTCTTGATGCAGGTGCGCAGCGGCTTCTTCAACCGAAGGTCCGATATGGCGGATTATCTTCTCCAGCGGCCGCCTCAGCTATGGCGCCTCACCCTACGCACGACGGCGCGCGTGGAACAGCGGGTACCTGCTCCGATACCAGTGCAATCAGACTCGACTTATTCACACTTTTCATGCTCGTGAACAGCAGAACAACAAACTGGCGACATGCGCCCACACAGAACTCAAAGATATGGCTTCCAAGTAACAGTTCGCTTCCACTGGCTAWGGCGACTGTGCGCCTCAAACAGCTTACTGTTCACACTCTGGATCACCCTGGATGTCCCACGCACATCACTCTGAACACTCACACAGTACGCACACACTGCACTCTACACTAAGCTATGGCAGCTATGGCTGCCGCTACCTATCGCTATGGCTACACTGCTTCACTCTCGCCCACTTCGTCTTCGGGCCTCCAGCAGACCTCCTTGCACAAGACGCCGAGGCAGCGCTTCCGCATGGCTTCCGCAGGAATGAATGAATGGCTGGGCCCAGCCTCTTGATTTATACTTCTGTGAGGCGTTGGTCTGCCCTGTAACCCCTGGCCCGTGGGGCACACAATCCCAGACGGTACTTGCTTGACTGGACCGGACTGTGTGGACTGGRACTGCTGACTGTACGAGGTGGACTGCCTCCACTTGACCACTTGCCTCTGTCTAACGTAGGCYGACTCCGAAAGGCCACTTCTAGAAACCTCTGTCTTGGCCTTTYGGTACTGTMGCAGCTACGACTTTGCCCTTTCAGGTAAGTAGCAGCTACGACCTTGACCCTTCAGACAGTCTACAGCTACGACCTCTGGACTGTCTAGACTCCTACCCGATAGGTCTACAGTTCGAATCCCCTCTACCCTGTGACCTACGAAATCCTACCTACCACTGGCGGTCCTACAGGTCGCAGGTTCAATTCTACGGGTTGACACAGATACTGTACACAGGTAAGGTGGGGATCTAGGGATCGAGCCCTGGGATCTGCATCAGCTACTGCAAACCGGTGAATACTGTTTCATTATGTCCTTCTTTGTATGAAAAGGATCTAACTGTGCTTTAACTTCCAGGCATGTTAAAAAAAAAAAAAAAAAAAAAAAGAACGAACGTTACACGCATTGTACTCCTAAGTTCTTTTGTATTTGTTGTTTCACCATTTCTGTGGTTTCCTCCCCCTGTATGCGCACATTTATCTATTACATGTATGCACTGTGCAGTGTGTTTTTCTCCACAGGATTGCTCTTTTTTCTCCCGATCTTAAACAGATTCCATCATGGAGGTAACCTACCCTTTGGCACTATCTGCCCCCGCCAAGGATCAAAACTCAATCGACCCCAGCCCCAGAATAGCGCAACCCTCGATAGTTGCCTTACGCCCCCCCCCCCCCCCCCCCCCCCCCCCCCCCC